TCTAGCTCCACCCCTGATTCAGATGAAGGATTTTAAATTTGACTAATTTTTAGGCAGTCTTCATAGTTTAATATGATATTCTTTTTCCATTCTAATTCTACATTTTAGTATAAGATCAAGTCTCCTTGTGCACAAGAAAATGCAATAAAACCCGACCTGGTCAAGGTCGAATTCGGAAGCTAACTGACTTTACGCGCTGCAGTGTGACCAGTACAAGAAGACAAACTCTCCGACGCTCAAGTCAGTAATTAGTAACTCAGACTCAATCGTAAGTTCGGGGAGGAATTCGATACCTGGTGTGGAAATGGTGCATTCTATTTATAGATTTTGGCCTTTGACAGACTTTCCGACCAGCGGTTATTTATGTCGGATGACAGGTCGGCCTTCGAGTGGGTTTTACCTTTGATAAAGGTAAAATGAAGAAGAAAATGGCTAAGTGATCTACCTCGACAGGTTCAAAATGGACCTGTTCCAAGATCGCCACCCACGTTGGGGATCGATTGTGATTTTCCTTCCCAAACAAAGTCAATCAGTCAATGACTTTATTCATTGACGACAAGAACATGACTTGGTATATATGATTAATATTTTAAAAAAATAAATTTGTAATAGTACATAGAAAGGGAAAATATATAGATGAAAAGTATAATTTAACAAATCTAAAAGTCAATCTTCTACTCATTTTGATCAATTAAATATATGTTCTCTCACTGACGTTTGTCGTTATTTACCATATGACAATCTTAATTAGTTCAAAATGTAGCACTGAAGTTGCTAAAAGTACAAAAATAGGTCAAAGAATGGAAGCACATCTTCCACCTTCTATGATCCATTCAACCTGCCTTAACTTCAAGATGAGAGATAGGCCTTTAGTAAGGGAATATCACACGGAAAGCTAGATTAGGTCTTATCGTCTCCGACTGATTTTACAGACCTTAGTTCCTTAAGGAGATTACTTTAACACAGCTTGAGGCTTAAGAAAAGATGGCCAACGTTGTAACATCTTAGCCAGAGAAGAATAAGAGAGGAGTTATATTCAAGGAAGTCATGGACTGGAATCAGAGATTAGATGGATGGACATCCAAAACGAAGACGAGAAAGAGGAAGCAAACAAGGTTAGCTTAAAGAATCTATCTCCTACTAAAAAAATTTGTAAATTAAAAGGAAAAAGAAAAGGTTGTTTTCACAAAACTATTTCTCTAACAAAAGTGATTTGGTCAGTGGATGTATTAGTTAAATGGTAATAGCATATTTTAGATGTAAGACTGAATATAGCTTAAGTGGTTCAGACATCTATCTCTCATCAAAACGTCATGGTTTGAACCTCCACCTTCACATGTTGTACTTAAAAAAAATATATTTTGGATGACATTCAAAAAAAGTTTTTTCTTTTAAAGAATTTTTTGTTAAGCAAGTTTGAAAATTTATTATTTTAGAGCGTGTTTAATAATAATATAGCTTCTTAAGTAGTTTTAGATAACTGAAAATATATTTTTAAAATATTTATAATGTTTGATAATACATAAAAATATTTCTTAAAAAGTCAATTAGCTAATTAAAAACTTTGAAGAAATACTTGAAGGACTTTAACTTATTATACTCTTTGTTTCCATTAGTTTCGAGCCAACTAAATTATTTAGGCGGCAAACGCAAGCCACAAATTATTAAACTCAAAAATAAAACTATTATTAGCTTATAACTAAAATTTTAATTAATACGTTTTTAAATGTAGATTATAAAAGTTAGTAAGCTCACAGGATATTTATTGTTAATTATCAAACAAGATTTTAGAAACTTATTAAAACTATATACATATATATAATTGAACCATATATATTAAAACTATATGTAGTATTATATATTCAAGCCTTTTCAAATATTTCCATGCATACATGTTATTTTCTTTTCACAAACATAAAATATCTTAAAAATATGCTTTCCCACCCAACTCTTTTCTCTGTCTTCTCTTTTTACTCTCTCTCTCTACCTTTGTCACACAAAAAAATATTCTTTCCTTTATTTTTATTTTTAATTATTTTTTGTGTGTGTGAGATATTAAATATTATTTTGGCAAGAATTATTTTTACTCAAAAGATTATACAATGTTAAAAATAATTATAAAAAACTTTGCTTAGCTTCTAACTATATATCAATTATCACATGTTCAAGATCAATAGTAAATAATAATAATCATCTGAGTCCCACTTCAATAAAGAAAGGTTCGAGTTTGAAGATGATCACTATTAAATTGGATTTTTTAATTGAATAAATGTCAATTGATTTTTAAAATTGGATAAAGTGAAGTGGATATATGTTTAACATTCAAAATGCCAACTCATACAAAATAATATTTTTATATATCATATTTCCATTCGATTTAGTCTTTATTTTTTTTTTAAGTCAATCCATTTAATCAATTGTTGAGTAGAGATACATAATTGAAATTTCTCTATGCATTAAGAACAATAAAACTAAGACTTTCTAATAACAAAATTGAATAATTAATTGTATAACCTTTAATAACCCAATGATGCATATATATTTAGTTCAATAACTTAAAATATTAATTTTCAATGCATTATTTACTCACCTTTTATCCATATTCCAATGTCCAAAACCAAATATTTAAAATTAAAAAAAAGGGGCCTAAAAACATTAATTTTTACCCAAAAAGAATTTGAGAAGCAAAATGATGAAAATTCCCAAGTGGCACCAATAAATTAAAGAGCCTAAAAAACCAGCTTATCTCCTCATCAAAACTTTGATTTCCCATTACCCTATTGCCCCACACCAATATCCAAATTCGATTTCAATCCCCATTTTCCACACTCAAAAAATAAATTAATCTGAGTAAAAGAAAGGGAAGGCCGACAATGGCTTCCCATCCACAGCATCTCTAGGTCCTCCTTCTCCTTTATACCACAAAATCTCGACCAGGAGGTCGGTCCAACTCGTCTATCGAGCGCAGCAAAATCAGGCTCTCGAAGACGACAACGAGAGCGGGGTTGAAGGCAGGAATCAGGATCACTCGCCGCCTGGTCCTCATCGTGCTTGTTGGTGCTCCTACTTTTGACTCCAAAGCGTCTCCCACCTATGCAATCTAAGGAGAAGTTGTTATTGCTTTTCACTCCAAACGGCTCTACTTGATAATGATCTTGTCATTTGGGTTTTCGTAAATTTTTATTTAATTTTTAAAACAAAAATGTTACGAGACAAGAGAGTTTAGTATTTACGATACGATATATTTGCAACAAAATAGGGAGGCCAAGTTCTAATATAAGAAAGACAACTTTGATTGAAACACCATGTGAGTGTTAGTGTACTCTCCCCATTCCCCAACTGACAAAAAATCCATCAAATCATCAATAACTATGGATCCGGTGGAGAATTTATTTCTCAGTATCTTAGTACATTTTTACCCATCTTTTTTTACTTGACAAAGTTGAGAAAATTTAGCAAGCCCATTTGAAAATTTTTTTATTTTTTATTTTCTATTTTAAAAAACTATGCTTGATTTCTATAATTATTTTTCTATGTTTTTCACCATTTTTATAAATATGTTTGAATTCTTAACCAAATTTCAAAAACAAAAATGTTTTTATAAACTACCTTTTTTTTTTAATTTGACTAGGATTTTAAAAATATTTTAATACTTGGCAGGTGGTTTTTTGCTTGGAAAACAAGCCCCACTTTGGCAAAACTTCTTCGTAGGTTCAGAAGACTCTTTGAAAGCTACTACACCGAACACTTGAGTTAAATTACAATTTTAGTCATGAATTTGAAAGCTACCCATTCATTCTCAAGGGTACTTCTGTACATTTACTTGCATATTTCAACTAGATTCAGACTAAGTTTGAAGCAATGAATTTAGTCATCTTCATTGTTTGTTGATTTCTCCATGATTTAACACATGAAATGAAATCACGCAAAAGCAGGTACAGGACCCTCCGATACCATATTTAAAAAATGTTCAATTATACCAAACAAGTCTACCGATTGTTTCAATAATACTCCTAAACTTTAAAAAGTGGCGTTTCAAAAAGTTTCAAAACTATCCTAGGTATTAGCTGCTCAAACGAAATACCACATTGGCTGTTAAAAATTAAAATCTTTAAGCAAACTTAATGCAACTACATCAAAAATCAAGATTTCTAATGTGAACGGTCGTTTTCTTCGAACTAATTCATTCATAGGGGGCGGCGTATTCTTTGAAGAAAAGAGACTTTAAGAAAGTAGTTCAGGTAGCTCAAATAGATGAGCTTTTAGAGAGCAACCGTAATTACAAGCTTAGCTAGCACCATACCCAACAAATGTACCACGAAAAGGGCCAAGCTAACAACGGCTTATAACACGTAGAAATGAGAGAAAATGTGGAAGATCCGGACGAAACTATATAAAATATTTCTGGATAATGCCCTAATCCCAACATATTTTTTTAGAAATATTTTACACTATTTTGTCCAAAATTTCCACTTAAGCTGCTAATGGCAAAGAGTAATTTTGAAACGTCAAAGATATTAATGCAACTTTATAAAGTTTAGGAGTGTTATTGAAATAATGGCAAAAGCTCAGGGATATTTTATATAATTTAATCTAAAAAAATCAAAAGCCAACAATTTGAAGAACAATAAAAAATATTCAAAATGCTTCAAAGAAATTCATTGTAGGGTAAGGAAAGATTCCTTTCAGATCCCAACCATTTAAGATAGAGAGACAGGAAAAAGGAATCTGGGAAATTTCAAGCTACCAACAGATGATATGTTTGATAATACCAAAGACAATCAAATTTCACACAAGAATATGAGGCGAATATCTTCAGAATCAGCATATTCCACAACTCACCGCAACAACAATAGATCATAGTTGCCAAAGCAAAGGATTTTCGGTCGGTATCGCATCTCGAACACCGACGCACGCATGAAGAAAAATAAACACTATTCTAGATGTCTAAACCCCCTCACATATGTGATGCATGAAGTAGACGGAAAAAAAGAACCAAGAGCCGTTGAAATAACTTATTCATTTTAGAAATAAACTTCATAATTCACATTTAACATGAATCTTAACTTAGAAGAGTGATTGTATGTATTTACAGGAGCAACAGTCAGAGAGGGAAGAAAAGAATAATAACCCGGGACAGCGGTAAGCCTTCTCTTTAAGTTCCACCGTTGCAATAATGGACGACGCCGTTGCTGTATGCATTCTTGCGTTTTACATTTAGTCCTTTTAAGCCCCATATTCTAATCGTACGGTCATCGCTAGCCGATGCGAGCATGTGCGGGTTTGTAGGGTTCCAGCTCACACAATTAACCGAACCAGAGTGACCAGGCAACGCTTCTATAAGCTCCCTGGATTCTCTGTGCCATATGTATACCTACAGATAGCAAGGAAGAACTATCAATTAGGGCTTACAAAAGGGTACACATACAGTTACGGAAAGAAGAAAATCAAGATCCTGAAGCAGATTAGTGTGCTCATTTTAACTAAGTCGCCAAATTGTCCACCGTTCAACTAGCATCGCTCCTTCGAACATTAATGCAGACTTCTCCCTTCTAAGCAGCTACCCAGATTTATGCATCTCAAAGATATTTCTTTTGCAACACACAATAAATCTTTTATCATTGACAGAGAATGTTGTCCATCACCAAAAAGCATCAAAGCTTCCCCAAGCCCAAAGGAGTTGGTGGCCGTGTCGGTATGCGACACTGACGTGCAGGCATGCCCATATCCAAATATAACATTGTAGATAACCAAAAAAAAAAAAATCTAGGCAAAAAGCAAAATAAGTTCTAAAGAAGTCAAAAGGACAAAAGGAGTTGCATACCTGTGAGTCCTCACTACCACTTGCAATAAAAGCTTCCTCGAGTCCTCCTAAACAGGACCGAATAACAAACCGAGTGCGCTTATGACCTTTATACTTAGATATGAGATCGGGTTCACCTACTAAACTCCATAGATGGATTTCTTGATTCACAAGATTAACCAGCAAGAATTTATTATCTTTGGACAGCCGAAAAGAAGTTATTACTTGATCCTCTTCAATCCATCTATCAATTTTTGCCTCCCTATCAAGAAGCACAATTGCAGTTTCTCTACATATAGTAATAATTTTCTTCCCATCACCCGTAATTTCTAAATCCGATATCTTCAAAATCCGTTGCCCTTTCCAAGAATCCAACTCCTTACCATCTAAATCCCACATACATATACTCTTGTCGTCAATACCAGCAAGTATAGACTTTCCATCAGGAAACCATCCACAAGAAACCAATCCAAATCCAGCCTTTTCATAAACATGGAGGCACTCACCGGAAGAAACATCCCACCGCTTAATAGCCTCCTCCACCCCACAGGTTAGCAGCTGACAATCGTCGGGACTCCATGAAACCAAGGAGACAGGTGTCTGGTGGCCAGATAGTCTATGCTTTAGAGACACCTTACCATTTGAGTTAACCTACAAAACACAACGAAGCGTACACAGAATAGATTAGACAAAGCAGAAAACAAGAGCGGTGTCCAAGATACGTTGGGTACATGGTGATGTTCGACCGTGTGGGTTATGAGCCTGACTACCATGTGGCCAAACCACCTTGTGATTAATATGGCAAAAGCAGGATTGAAGAGAAAGGAATGACAAATATGGAGATCTAAAAAGTTAGGTGTGCCATTGATCTTTAGTTTTGGAGAAGTTAAGTACTTTTTTATTCTAGCAGAAAAGAAATGCCTTTTACTCCCTCACCACTAATCTTTTTTTTTTTTTTTTTGGCAAAGCAAATGAGTCGGTGAATCACATATTCACCTGCCTCAACTTTTGTTCTATAAAGACTTGGACCATCAAACCACATAAACAATTACTACATTCCAAAGGAATTGATAAAGTATCTGTAATAATGATTATACCTCCCATATGATTGCAGATAGATCACTAGAAGATGAAGCTAAGTACTTCCCATTATGAGAAAATTGCAAATACCAAATTTCATCACTATGTGCTTGTAATACCTGTATGAAAAAGAAGGCAAAATTACTAGATTCAGCCAAAGAGGAGAAAAACTAAAATACATTTGTAATATTATGATAGAAAATAACTTGTCAAAGAATTGCATTTTTAATATCAAATTAAACAGGGAGCTTCTCAAGTTGCAACTCATTTCTCTTATTAAGTCAAAACTCGTAGCTTCCTTCATGAGATTGCAAGATGATATTGACAACCTCTTACCAAAAAGGAGTAAGGATGCTAACATGGACTGCTACAAAATTGTGATTCCTCAAACAGATTACAAAAGTAATAAGAAACTTACAAATGAAGGCCTTGAAAGCAACAATCTTACCAAGAAATAGAAACTTAAGAAATATTAAATTAAAGTTAAGTTAGTTAACAAGGGTACAAAAGCTCCCCTCGATGTTTTTGCTGGAAGTAGATACAAATATTTCTCACCTGCAAAGTTTGTGAAGGTATCTGACTTTTCCCGCAATCATGATCCGTATACAATGACATATCTTGATCTGAAGAGTTGTGGAAGACACAAGCATCTCGTTGCAACAAAAGAGCCTGTTCAACTAAATGTTCCAACCTATTTTCAGGTATCATAACTGTCGGTGGAAGAAGCTTCTGCAATTCATCGAGCAATTTTGTCCGAGATTTTGCTCTCAAATTCTCTCCGCAGGGTGAATCAATTATACCACTCAGTGAAGGAGACACGATGAAGGACGAAAGTTCGCGTATTCTATTATTGTTAATAGAAAGGGGAGCAATCTCCATCCTCAACGTCTTCAAAGCTTCCATGACCTTATCAATTTGCAAAAGCTCCAAATATTTCTGCTCTAGTATCAAAAATGAGGCAGATTTGATAATGCTTTCATTTGATAGACCAATTTTATGTAAGGTATAAATGCTTTCATCCCAATTTCCATCAAGAATGTGCTGCATAAATATATTTACAGTAGAAGAATGCAAAGGTATTCCAGACTCTTCCTCGAGACGAGCACTGCTCTTCTTGTAACCAAGAGAATACAGTGCATTAGCAATTATTCTCACAAATTCATCTCTTCTGATAACTCCTTTCGAACCAATAACTTCGTCATTATCTCCTTCAGATGGTAGGGGACGAGCCATCAAATCCCTGGAAGAATCCCCTAAATGCTCTGCAATGGATGAGCCATTGGAAAGACCTCTTAATTTTCTCGAGGATACTTTCATGCGTTTCAAGGCTGGTTCTTCATCCTCCACACCTCCCATGAAAGGTTTACCTCAGCCCATATATATCTATCTATTATAATTTCACAAATGTCAATCAATCTTAACTTCAAACAAACAAATTAACAAAAATGATTCTTAAAGAAAAATTGAAGTTCCCAACAGTACATAATGAAGGCAGCGATAAAAAGTAATCAGGTCAAAATCATAATAATAGATATCCCACTGTTTAATACAGCTTCATCAAGCCTTTCTTAATATTACTACAACTGAAATGCAATTACTGGAAACAAAGTTAACTTTCCTTGGAAAGTTACCATGTCCACAATCATATAATAAAATGATCCTCCATTGAAGAGTTCAACTTTCTTTCAATGAGAAAACTCCCGTCTCAGTAATTTTTTCCCCTTAATACCCTCAACTTCAAACTAGCATCAAAGATCTTATGCTACCAATCTTACATTTTTCCAAAGATCAATCAATCCGCTGCATTTCAAGAGGCAAGCAATCCATTTCTACTAACGAAAACCAAACACAAGAGACTTATTTGAAAACACTATCTTATGCCAACAGCAAACTCCAAGCATGCGGCAAAGTAACTAAAACTGCCCATACTTCGTCTTAAAAACAAACAATATTCGAAGTCCATGAAATGGATTTCGTGCATTTCCAAGTTGGCGGTGAAGCATCAATCAATCAATCAACCAACCAATCAATTAATCCCAACAAATCAAAGATCCAAACAACAAAGAGGAATTAGAACATCCTTCCAAACCAACCAAATAAAAAAAACAATGGGAAATTCTTGTACATACAAACAAGGAATTGCCGAAGGAGAGTGTGTAACTGACCGATGATCGAAGGCAAGATTCTCAAAGATGAAGCAACCCCAGAAAGAAAAAAACAGAAGTAAGAACAGTAAGAAGAGGAAGAGGAAGGGAAATTTGGGAGAGAGCAATAATGGAGGAAGATAAAGAAAGGGGAAAAGGAAGGAGTTGAGAAGATGAAGTGTGAAGGGTCTAAATTCATAAAAAAATTTATTGGAACCGATGATGTGTGGGATTTGGGTTTTGGAATGGGGAGGGCAGAAGAAAGGGTCGGTGGAGCTGAGCTCAATGGGTCTGCCTTCGGCTTTGGCTTTGGCTTTGGCTTTGGAAGAAACCGTATCGACTCAATAAAATGTAGAGCGAGACAGAGAGTTGAAACCGCAGAGAGAAACATGGCCGCCATGGGAGGCCTGCTTCTTTTCTTGGTTTGGGCCTTCCTTTGCCTAAATGGCCGAAACCAAAAGCCAGCGACTGTTCTTACTTCTTCCTTTGCTGTTTCTTTTCTCTCTCTCTTTACAATAATGCTGAATTTACGGGATGATATTTCAATATAATTTCTCATTTTTTTCAAAAGAATAGATTTTAGGTTAAAAACACATTTGGTAGTCCTTATCCTTTTGTTAAAGTAGTATGTACTAATTTAAATTGTAGTTTAAAGTTTGTAACAATTTAGTCTCTATCGTGAAATTAACGAGGGGTCATATGTGTTTTTAAAATTAAAAAATGGACACTTAATTTTGATAAGATTTTTTTACAAAATGCACTAAATTGTCACAAATTTTAAACTATAGAGACTAAATTATTACGTATTAGGACTAAATATATTTTTAACCTAAGTGGATGTGTAGAATTAACTTAACTACTTAGTTAGGACTAAGTTGACATAATTTCTATGGAAAGAAAGAAAAATAGTGAAGATATATTTGTGCAAGTATGTTTATAAAAAAAATGTTATAAAATGACTTAAATTAAGACGAATTAAAATTATTCTTTCATTTGAAAATTTTAAATTTATAGATAATAATTTCCATACACAATTTATTTTATTTTGGAGAAATATCATTTACCTTTTCAACCTTTGTGGAACTCCATTTTGTCTAAGTCGTTGAGCTGTTGCTTCTTTACCCTTTTTTTTTCTTTTTTCTTACAGGAAACAAAATAACAAAGTGAAATTATGGTAAGGAGGGGAACTCTCCTCATGTTAATGAAACGAAAAAACATCTCGAGCTGGCATTCTTCACGAACAGCTTCAGAAACTTCTTCCAGTCCTCCCTACTGCACTGTCGTTCGATTTGCAGATCTCTTAGAACAACTCCGTGACTAGAATGCAATGTCAAGTATTTCTCTTGCTAACATCCCTACCTCGTACTCATCTCTTTCCCTCGAGCTAATTAGGAATACAATGAACCCTCACTATAAAGTAAACATCGTTTCCCTTCAATAATGAACTACTACATGAAATTATGATACGTCAAGCAGGAAAAAAGAAAAAAGTAGTGAGTTGAATGGAGACTGAGTATTTTATTAATAGAGAATGACTTCACGATTCAACATTGGAACAACTTTGAATTGATAAACTTGGAAAGAAGTAACTGAAGAAGTATTTACACAAGAACAGAGCAACTGTAGAAAGAAAGAAAAGTTACAAATGGGTATGAGAGAAGAGAGAAGAGAGAGAGAGAAGAAGAATTATCTCTGTTCAAGTTCCCCCATTGCTATAATGGACGCCATTTCGGCTGCTGCGATCACTATTTCTGGACTTCACAACGTTAAGATTCAGCCCTCCTAATCCCCATATCCTAATCGTACGGTCGTCGCTGGCCGATGCCAACATGTGAGGATTGGCAGGATTCCAACTCACGCAGTTTACAGACCCTGAGTGCCCTTCCAATGCCTCTATTAGCTCCCCTGTCCCTTTATGCCATATATATACCTGCCACCCACACACCAACCCGTCAAAAACTTCCACATAAACACACTCATTCTCAGTATCAAGACGTCCCATCGGTGTCGTGTCACTTGGAAACTTACGAGAATCTCGTAGGAAGTGGCTTGCTTCATTCAACTTTGATTCAAAGATGAAGATGAAGCTGAGGCGAATTTTCTTTCTATGAGATTCTCGTGAGTTTTCGACTGACATGGCACCAATGTTCAGTAACATAACATCTAGATATGTTGTATGATTGTGTTGTATTTGTATATATACCAAAAGCTAGTGTGACGTGTCAGCTTTTCGTTACTATTCTAGAAGTATGCTTTAACAAAAAAAAAACGACAACCAAGCAACTTGAATGATACAAATCAAAACTTGGAGGTAGGAGAGTGGCGCCACAGTATATAGAATAGAAGTTAAAAGGACGAACTAAGAACTGTACCAGTGAGTCCTCACTACCACTAGCGATAAAAGCCTGGTCGAGCCCTCCAAAACAGGACCGAATAACGAACCGGGTGCGCTTATGACCTGTGTACGATGTTATAACCTCAGCCTCGCCTTCTAAATTCCACAGATGGATTTCTTGGTTCGAAAGGTTTACTAGCAAGAACTTATTATCCCTTGACAGCTGAAAAGAGGTTATTATCTGATCCTCTTCGATCAATTTATCGACGTTTAACTCCCTGTCGAGTAGTAATATCGCGCTGTCTCTACAGATACTAATAATCTTCTTCCCATCATTGGTTATTTCCAAATCAGAAATCTTGAGAGTTCTTTGTCCCTTCCAACCTTCCAACTCGTTCCCGTCTAATTCCCACATGCAGATACTCTTATCGTTAGCGCCAGCGAGTATATGCTTTCCATCAGGAAACCAGCCACAAGAAACTAGTCCATGACCAACTTTTTCATAAACATGGAGGCACTCGCCCGAAGCAACATCCCAACGCCTGACAGCTTCCTCCACCCCACAGGTGAGTAGCTGACTATCATCAGGACTCCATGAGACAAGAGAGATCGGTTGCTCATGACCGACCAGTTGATGCTTCAAAGAAACTCTTCCATTTGAGTCTACCTAAAAGGAAAAGGAGAAAATGCTTAGAACATGAAAGTCATCAGCAAAATAATGGAAGATAATTATAGTAAAATTGACTTTCAAATGCATAAATTAATAAAATTCCATGAAAATACATGTGAATATGGGTTGCCTAGCATCTTCCAAAATCCTAGATTGAAGCCCCTCATTGAAAATTTTATAGCTTAAAATCTTGATTGTCCCCCAAAGCTAACCCCGGTGGGCAAAGCCTCCTTGGGAGTTAGTTTTTTTCATCTTTTGAGTTCATACATTGAATCGAACCATCAACTTCAAACATGGTAATATGTGAAGTCAGTTAAGCTAGGGGTTAATTGCATGCTTGCCGTTCTTAATAAAAATTTCAAAAGTGATCATAATAGTTACCTCCCATATAATTGCAGACCGATCACTGGAAGATGAAGCTAAGTATCTCCCGTTATGAGAAAATTGTAGAAACCAAACTTCATCAGTGTGATCTTGTAACACCTGTTGAGATCAAGAAAACAAGGAACTCAGATGACAGCGGAAAGAAACGACCACAAGATGTTACGATAATTTAAAAAATACCCTCAAATTATGAACCTATATCACAATCTCTATCTACATTACTTCACGGTTGCACAACCATAATTGCAGAAGCAAAAATTGCTTTAGCTTAGACCAACAATCTTACAAGAAATCCCTACAATGAGTATACTGATGTTCTTCACATCGGGTAATAAAGGAGATTAGATAAAACTATATGTATCAAAGGAGCAAAGATAAATCAGAGACAAGGTAATAATATGTTAATATGTATCCAATTAAGAAAGAGTTTCGAATTATCAACTTTATACACAAGAACCATGATATAAAATCAATGTGGATACAACCTTACCTTAAAGTTTACCCAAAAAGTCTCGTAAGAAAACATTTCTTACCTGTAAAGTTTGTGAAGGAATCTGATTTCTCCCACAATCATGATCTGTATATAACGACATCTCCTTATTTATGGAGTTATGAAAAGTGCAAGAGTCTCGTTGTAACAAAAGGGCCCGTTCAACTAAATGTTCCAACCTTTTTTCTGGGATCATAAGAGATGGGGGAAGAATTTTCTGCAATTCCTCCAGCAATTGTGTCCTAGACTTAGCCCTCTGACTCTGTTGACAGGACAAATCAACTTGAGCCCTCATTGATGGAGAAACCAAGCAGGAGGAGAGCTCACGAATTCTGTGATCATTAATGTGGTATGGAGCAATCTCGGTCCTCAGTGTCTGCAGTGCTTCTGTGACTTTGTCCTTCTCCAAAAGCTCAAAGAATTTCTGTTCTAACACCAAAACAGAAGCTGATTTGACAATGCTTTCATCCGACAGACCAATTTTTCGCAAAGTTTCAATGCTTTCGTCCCATTTTCCATCATGAATTTGCTGCATAAGCACATTTACAGTCGGAGAATGTAGGGATATCCCAGACTCCTCTTCTAGATAAGCACTGCTCTTCTTATAACCGAGAGAATACAATGCCTTGGCTATTATTCTCACAAACTCTGCCTTTTTTATTACTCCTTTTGAACCAATAACATCACCATTGTCCCCTTCGGACGGTAGGGGGCGAGCCATCAAGTCTCTTGAAGAGCCCCCTGAAGGCTCAACTACAGATAAACCGTTCGAGAGTCCCTTCAATTTCCCCGGCGACACTTTTATACGTTTGGAGGCTGGTTCTTCATCCTCTAAACCTCCCATGAAATGTGCACCTCAGCCCATATATAACTACGATGAACGGATAAACAGATGGTTTCAAAAACAAAAAATACCCCCAATAAATCTCAAACTACTGCTACACAATGTAGTCAAAGTAACAATCAAAAACTACAAGATGTGCATTTGGCAGACAGATAGTCACAGTGGCAAATTCAAGACATCAAATTTTACCAAGAAAAAGCAAGAACATAACAAAGAAATTCAATCCAGACGTGTTCTCGACAAGAATTACAAGATAAAAAAAAAAAGTGAAACAAAGCAACGTATCTAAATCTAAACACATCCAAACTATCAAGCAATACCAATTAAGAATGGAACTTAAATAGTTGATACAAAATGCAATCCGCAGTGAATTACATGGATAATAATAAGATTAGAGGGGAAAGAAACGGCGTCGTATAACTGAAGCAAACATGATTCAGTGCAATCCCAATCCCGAACCCGATGAATCATGAACCAAACCAGCAGTAATCCCAATATTGCAATCAATCAAAAGATTAACAAAATCCCAACGCGAGGACATTAGCGGCAGGCAAACAAGAAAGGGAAAACGAAAAAAGGAAAGTAAAGAAATGGCGACATACCGATGGCGGAAGGCGAGATTCTGACGCAAGAAGCAACCCAGAAATTTGATTTCAAAAAATACAAAAACAAAATTGTGTTGTTGAAGAGGGGTGGGAGAGAATCGATTGGAGAATCGGACGGGGAATTTGGGTGGGGCGAAGGGTTTGGTATGGTGAAAGTAGTAGAGAGAAGAGATGGAAAGAAAGACGGAAAGGGAAAAGGGAAAACACAGTGGGTTTGGTTTTGGCTTTGGCTTTGGCTTTGCGTGGAGGAAACGAACTCGAGAAGAGGGGTTATTATATGCAGTGAGTGAGTGAGAAAGACGAATGCCAACACAGAGAGAATGTGAGAGACGGAGGAGGCGAGGAGTCGTGGGCGCCATGGAAGCGCACCTCGCCCTCGGGCCTCCATTGGGGCCTCCCAAATGGGCTGCTTCTTTCGTGATCCATTCTTCTTTACAATATTATTTCTTCAAGGTACCGGAAAACACAAAAAAATTACTAATTTCTAAGGTAGATGGTCATCGTGGTATAATTAAAAATATATTTAAAAAATAATTGCATTTGGTAATTGTTTCTTAATAAGAAAAATAAGGAAATTTGATTTTGCTGGAAATTGGTACCATATAACTTTTCTTTTCAAAATTTCTATACAGTTTTGGAAATGGGAACAAAAAAACAATAAAAAAGAAACGGAAATATTACAACAGGCTTAAATTTCTTGTGTCTCGTTTCTATTTCTAAGTTTCTTACCCACACATAAATAAAAGTATTATTTTATCATCTTTCTTTTTACTTATAAACCGTACTTAGTATCAAAAAAATATATATAGCATAAAAAATGTTGAATATTTTATTTAAAATTTTAAAGAACGGAAACAATAAACCATTATAAAACGTAATTTTGTTTTTTTCTTAGTGATGAAAGAGAAAACTAGAAACAACAAATGCAAAACATTACCAAGCGGACTTTTAATATTTTTATGCCTATTGTAGGTTTTTTTTAACCTCAAATTGCTTGTTTCCAGTTATCATGTTTTAACAAATTCTTTACGTAATGTGTTTTTTTGGATATGGTAAATGAGTTGAAGTTCGGTCAAATGTATTGATATTTTAATTGGGTAAACGTTTAATAAAAGGACAATGGGTTAATTTAATATGAACCTCAATACATTCAACCCAACATAATCCGTGTATTGTTGAGTAGTTAATAGATTTATACATTTGATCTAGGGCAAATGTTCGAATCACGATTCGAACATTAGTTGAAACAAAATCATAAAAACGGAAGCAGGGATGTTTCACAGATTTAGCCAAATCATAAAAACCAAATTAAAAATTTTGGAAACCACAGGAATGAAACAAAATCAAACAAATTAGGATGGTTATAATAGTAATTTAACTTAATTGTTTTTACATGCGGAGGATTTTGTGCCCATACATATTATTTTGTACCTTCTAACCATGTATATTATTGTTGCATGTTATTCACTCTAAGGGTTTAATTTCGTATGGTTTTATTTTTAAATTCTACTCGATAGATCTTGTATTAATAAAAATGTTGTCTTATATTAACTAAACTCAACTATTTAACTGTCCACCTGCGTCTTTAAAACTTATCTTACTATTTGAAAATTTCAACATAGTGTGATGGATAAAATACTTATTATCATTCCAAAGGTCAATAATAATTCGATTTCATCACGCAATTGTTGAATTCAAAAAACTAGAGAACGAGATTAGGCCACTCAACATGGTTGGTCCGACCTACTCATGCCTATACCATTCTTGGGACTTCTCACAATTTTACCTTTCCTTTTTTCTAATGCTTCTTTTGGCATATTATCTAATTTCACATGCCTATGTAATGTTGTTGATTTGTATTATTTTAGTACGCGAAGAATTTAACATCCGACATTGAATGAATGAATTATATACCTTTAATCTTTGAGTTATATGTTCATGTTGACAGCGATGTGTGATGTTTTTATATAATAATGGCGCTAGATTATCTAGGTTCGAATAATAAGAAGTCATAATATAACTTTACAAATATCGAGGGGAATTTTGAACATTTAGCATGTAAAGATCTTATAATACCATTTAATCATCCTAATCATCTTGAGTGGCTCATTAGGCCAAATAGACTAAAGTAAATTAAGAAAATTTAGAGAGAACGATCCGTTCAAATCTCATAGCTTATTTAATTTAACAAATAAGTATTTAATCATTTTTATAAATAAGTTTAAAATAATTTATATTTATATTAGTGAGATTTTGTTCCTATCTTTTGTCCACTTTTTTTTAACAAGTCCCAAGCTAAGATAAACATAGGATCAGAACTCAAACGGTAGCTATCAAGTACAATGATAATAGACCTCAGCTTTCAAAGCACGTAAGAGTACAGAAGGCGACCGACCCACCTCATTTGCATAAACTCTACCATCACGCTCCCTTCGTATGAAAGAAATAGCAATATGAAATTCAGTAAGAAGACCCCGCTCAAACAAAGACTGAAATATTGATTTAACCTTTGTATCAACGTTAAATCATGAATATATGAAAATTGACCACTACAAAGCACCAGAGCTCAAAACTGCGAATTTTTTTCTTTTGAGATATAATTTGAACCGCGAATTCACAATAGAAGAATCTGTTCCCACTCCACAAACAAATAAATAAATAAAATCAAGATTTTAAATATCTTTTAAAAAAATATCTTTGTCCATTTTTTTTCTTTTTTTATTTTTATTTTTTAATCCTCGAAATGCGTCGAGGATAAAATCGCCGTTGTCCACAAAACGAAAAAAAAAAGGTGAGATATGAAATCAAACGAGTAAAAATGGCAGAAATTGAAGAGAAAACGAAAATGATAATAGCGATGAAAGGACATCCAGGTACAGGGAAGAGCACCATAGCCCAATCCCTAGCCTCTCTCCTCAAAATCCCGCTAATCGACAAAGACGACGTCAAGGACTGCGCCGCCGCCATCTCCGCCGCCATCTCCGCCGCGCTCCTCAACGATCTCTCCTACGACGTCGTTTTCCGCCTCGCCTCCACGCAGCTCCGCCTCGGCCTCAGCGTCCTCCTCGACACGCCTCTCTCCCGCCGATCTCACCTCCACCGCCTCCTCGACTTGGCTTCCTCCGCCGGCGCCCGCCTCCTGATTGTCGAGTGCAGGCCGTCCGATCTGGCGGAGTGGAGGCGGCGCCTCGAGAGCCGCGGCGCCGCTGATCGGACGAACTGGCACAAGCCGTCCACGTGGCGAGAGATCGAGATGCTACTGGAGGGTTACGGCGGATGTACGGAATTCGACGTCGGAGATGTGCCGAGGCTGGTGGTGGACACGACGGCGCCGGTTAGTTTCGATGAGACCGTTTCCACTGTTATCGATTTTATTGCATCTAATAGTTGTTCTTTCAATGGTCCGTCGCCCGTTAATTAACGGAAAGATGAAGCAATAACCCCCTTTTCCCCTCTTTTTCTTCTTTAGTTAAATTATAATTAATAGTTATTTAGACTTTAGAAAATCCCATATAAGTTTGTAACTAATTGATCTTGTATTGTATTATAAAAAAGTTTTTAATCAGTTGGTTGAATAAGTCTCTGTTTTTTTTATACAATTAAAAAATATGTAGGTTGGGAATTAAAACCTAAAAATTAATATAAGCTACGTTACTTACTACATTAACTGAACTCTTATGATATCAAATTTTTAAACCTACTCCAAATTAGTTATGAATTTAATAACAATGGTATATTCTTAAAAAGAATCAAGTAACACAAATTTAAAAGTTAATAGACCTATTAATATAGGGTTGATCTAAGATTTTGGATATACCAACGCATTAATTGAGGTGATTCCCCAAGTTAAGGATCTAAAAATAGGACCTTACATCGGTGCGATGCTCGACCACGTACACTCCAAAATTTAAGTAAAATCTTAGTATGAGTTGGTGTCGAGCCAAACTTAGTTAGGTTGCTTAAAGATTACTTATATTCATAAATGGGCGTTGTCATGATATTGCAACGTTTCAAGATGTCGATCTCCAACTGGACTTACACTTCCTTCGTTGTGTTCGAACTGAGGCCCAGACACATGTTTCTTTGTCATGAGGGCCCGTGGCGTGTCATCATCTTACCATTAACATATACTTTATTTAAACCATGTGTAAAGATTAATTTCAACTCGAATTAACACCTAAAAGTGGTAAGATAATTGCTATAATTATTATAAAAAATAAAAGAAGAACAATCATTTAGTGTAAACCATATCTTAGAAAGTGTAAGTAAAAATAAAATAATAATCATGAATATGACTCAACAGTTAAGAAATTTTGCTCATTTTTTGAAGTCCAAAGTTCAATATCCCACCTCCACATTTGTTTTACTCACAATTAATATATTGTTATTTATTTATTTTTAATACAACAATTAGGTGATAGAGATTCAAAGTTATAACCAAGCAGAAAAATTATCAGGGACTAAACTTAAGTCGGTTAATACGTGGTTATTGAATCCACCTACTCTACCACTTTTAACTATTCATTAAAGATTATTTAATTGTTGATAAAAGCCATATTTACACTCTACTCACAATTATAGGGAAAAAAAAAAGAAAAAAGAGAAGGAAAGAAAACAACAACAATACTACAAAATTTTATTGAATTTTTTGGGTAATGAGGAATTTGATTGATTGGTGTTGGATATGTGGAAGTATTGCGTGGATGGAAAGAAGGTTTCTCTGGAATCTTCGAGCCGTGGTAGTTAACGCTAACGAGCGCAGCGTAGCGAAAAAAGTCAAGTTCTTATGCTTTGCTTTGGGCCCAATCCCACCCAAAGCCAAAGCCATAGCCATTGCCATAGCCATTGCCATAGCCAAAGCTTTCCCTCTCTAACAGAAATTTTTATATTGTATAGCCCTTCCCTCTCTCCTCCTCCTTCCGTCTTCCTCATTTTCATTCTCCGCGTCTCGCTCCAGTTGTTGCTGATTCCTGATTCTTCTCCGTCGCGTCGTTGCGTTTTCTGGCGATTTTCTGGTGAGTTTCTCCGTTCTGTGGATGATTTTTGCTTCTTGCTTTGCTTTCGTTGATATTCTGTTCGAACGCGCATTTTTCTGTTGTTTTTTTTTCTTTAACGTGTGTTGTTGATTGAGTCGTTTTGTGCCTAATCTGTGTTTCTTTTGTTTGTTTACTCTTTCAGTGTGATTGATTGCTCTTGTTGCTGCGTTTGAAATTCATATTGAACTGTCTTTGTCAAGGTTTGTGGTTGCTGATGATGTTATTGGATGATCTTCTTCGTGTTTCAATTTTCGCGATGAGTGTGAATGTGAATTCTGCCTATTTATTTCTTTAGTTTTAGTTTTAGTTTTAGTTTTTTTGTTTGTTTTTTTTTTTCAGTGTGGTTGATTGCTTTTGTTGCTGCATTAGAAATTAATATTGGACTTCCTTTGTGAAACTTGCTGGTTTCTGTTGATGTTCTTGGACGATCTTCTTTGTGTTCTGATCTTCGTGAATTCCGCATATTATTGCGACTGTGAAGCTAATTCACGGAGATTCTGTTTGTTAGCTCTTATCTTTCGGTTTCTTGGCTGAGGTTGTTAAGTATTTTCTGTCATGTAGAACTTTATCGGACTGATGATGTATGTGGATGATTTTTTATTCTTGTTCGTTTGGTTGATATTCTCTTCGAGCGAGCATTTCTCTGTTGTTATTTTAACTTTTTCATGTGT